AGTTTCGCCTATTCAAGGCTCATTGGCAAAGCAGTCCACAGCTGAAGGTACAGCGAATAAAAGAAAATATTATGCCTGTAAATCACAGGTTATGTTTTCAATTTTACCTTTGGTGAACAAAAAAGTAATATCTTCATCATCAAACAGAATAATAAATTTGGCGCAATGACACAATATTATTTACATGCCTAAATTAACTTAGATTACTATATGATGAGTTAAAAAGGACTCAAAAATTCCATAAATATTATACATCATCATTATAAAAGGCCTAACTGTATTTCTTTGGTTTGCTGCCCAAAGCTGTGCTGATAAGTCGAAACTGCGGTCCATAGGAGAGTGTAAGGTGAACCAAGAATACGTTAGAACTCTACGTCTATATTCTATATACATAACCTACTGAGTGTGTAATTTATCTTATTCTGGCACATGACGTTAAGCTTGTATTGCTGCAAGGAATGTGTTCAGCCCAAAGGTACGATAACTCGGATGTTGTGTGTGTGTCAATCATTGTGAGAAAGGGTAACTTTCACATGTCGGGTAATAAATCATACAATGATTTCAATAAAGGGGGTGGTGAACACTAATTAAACATTTGTTTCTGTAAGCGATAAAACAAAAATACTCAAACCGAATGAATCTTGATACCAATGTGTTCGAGAATTGTGATTCAAGATTCTTGGGTATTATGTAACACTGAATTTCGTGTATAATTCAGTTTATCTAACAAAACAACAGTTAAGGATCATTAATAACGCGTTTGGAAACTTTTAACTGTAAACTGATGGCGGTAACCAATGTTTTTGTTATTCCTATGTTACCATGTAACATTTTACTGTAGGAATGTCGTAAAACTATTTTCGAATGACTTATCCACGAGCCGATACAGTCGCAAGAGTATAAGTTTTATTTAAAAAACTTTCATATTTTTTTGATAACCAGTTATTCGAAGTAACTTTTAAATATCAAACTTGATGTTACATACATATATGATCTTCACTGAGTAAGGAAATCTCACTTACAAACTTTCTAAAATTCTAAAGCATTTTCAACTCCAAAACTTTTGCTCAAAGAATACCAATTTATAAAATAATATATAGAAACATCTGACATATTTAAAATTTTAGACTTATTTTTTACATACTTATAATAAAAAAAGCTTCCTCTAACCAATTATTGAAAATACGACTCAAAACAACGAAATTCGTTGGCCAAAAGTTGTAACACGTAGTATATACTTACACCACAAAACAGTATCGTTTAAAACTGTCGCAAGAAATTACTTCATAGCAGTAACGTTCTGATAAAAACAGTATTAGTTGTTGCTGCTAATCATTACCAGTGTGATAACGAAATAGGCGCATGAAGACGTGTTGAAATCGTGAACTTCATAATAATAATTGACATTGAACTTAATTGCAATTTTTTATGAAAAATAACATTTATAGTTTTGTTGTTGTTTGTTTTGCATTAAGTTTCTTCAAAATGTATATTTTATGTAGCCGTAAGATTACTCCAGCTTATCCGAGTTTACGATGGTGTAATGCAACTATGTTGTGATAAAATAACTAATAGTCTTACATTGGTAGCACTGTAAGTATTAGTATAATACTCTCAGCTTCAATTCGAGATTTCATTGGAGGTAAACATTTTGCTAATCTTGCATTCCTGAAACGAACGGTATGATTTGTTCGTTTTGTAATATTTTAATGACATCAAATATGTATTTACGAAATGACAAACTATTATTCCCCGTGAGTTGTATTATTTAACATATAAACGGAAAAAACCTTTTACTCTATTATTGGATTTTTGTTTGTTTTTGAATTTAACGCAAAGATACACGAGGGCTATCTGCGCTAGCCGTCCCTAATTTAGCAGTGTAAGACTAGAGGGAAGGCAGCTAGTCATCACCACCCACCGCCAACTCTTGGACTACTCTTTTAACAACGAATAGTGGGGTTGACCGTCACATTATAACGCCCCCACGGTTGAAAGGGCGAGCATGTTTGATGTGACGGGGATTCGAACCCGCGACCCTCAGATTGTGAGTCGAGCGTCTTAACCACCTGGCCATGCCGGGCTCAAGGATTTTTGTTAAATTATCTTTGAAGGCTAAACTTGGAGGTTGACAATATTCAAATTTTGTAAGTTTTTTACTGGATCCAGTTATATGTATATACAGTAGAAGTAGCTATTAGTATTTATCAACGTTATTTATCTATTCTTAAACTGTAACGTAGATTTATGTTTATATACAATCGAAAAGAGTGTAATTTCTTTTATTAACTTTTCAGGCTTATTTTTTACACCTTAATGTTTCAGGTTGTTTTTAATAGGCCGAGCGCGGTTTAGAGGCTATTTTGCGGGACTGTGGATCTGAGGTTCCATGGTTCGAACTGTAGATCTGAGGAAAAGAAAAAAATATTACACTCCAGCCTTTGGGACTGTGGATGCATTACAAGAGTGACGGTCAAATCCTTCTATCAAGTCTGATAGTAGTATCAGTGGGTCATGTTGAGTAACTGCTTTCCCTCTAGTCTGTCACTTCTAAATTAGGAACGGCTAGTGCAGATGTCCCTTGTGTAGTTTGTGCATAAACGTAAAAAAAGAAAAAACACACGAGCAAATACATTTTAATTAAAGCAAGGAAAAGGGTTTAACAGACAAGCACGCCCATGCACAGAGTAATTGTTTCTACCTCGCTAACTGCTATTTTGACGGATTTGCTAATAATTCAGCAAGTCTGTTTTTTGTTTTATTTTAGTCTAGTTTTTCTCGAATTCAACTAACTCTGACAATAGAATTTTCGTCTCGTCATCCACGATTTGATATATAATCCTACATATGCAACAAAAATCATAATTCAGACTGGAAGTGTCATAATAAAATGTAAGCCAGTTTTATTAACAGTTTTGGTTGTTTTGAATTTTGCGCAAAACTACACGAGGACTATCAGCGCTAGCCGTCCCTAATTTAGCAGTGAAAGACTAGACAGAAGGCAGCTGGTCACCACCACCCACCGCCAACTCTTGGGCTACTCTTTTACCAACGAATAACATTATAACGCCCCCACGGCTGATAGGGCGAACATGTTTGGTGGTACGGGGATTCGAACCCGCGACCCTCAGATTGCGAGTCAAGCGCCCTAACCAGGCCATGTTTATTAATAGGTGCCTTCAGTTTTATATATGTGAGAGCATGATTTTATTAGCTCAAAGCCGCACAATGGTCTATCAGAGTTATGTCCCCCCGGATTTGAAAGTCATTAAAGTTACCGATGACCCACCGGTGGACCGTAGTTTTGTGTCTGTGTACCAAAAACTGAGGATTTAAAACTAAGTTAAATCTGCTGGCAAGTTGATGAGTTCTTACTATTTTGTAATATATATATTGCAAGAATAAAATGTAATGGTTATTGTGTTGTGGCAAGTGAGTTGTTAAAAAGAGTTTCACCATGATAGATATAGTCGAATTTTTCTCATGTTCTCTTAAAAATGAATGAATTAAATCCACTTCGCTTTTCCTTGACCACTTGTTAATACAAAACGATATATATATAACCCCAATCGTTACTACAAAACGATATATATATATATATAACCCTACGTGTTACTACAAAACGATATATATATAACCCCTACTTGTTACTACAAAACGATATATATATATAACCCCACTTGTTACTACAAAACGATATATGTATAAAACACTTTGAAAATATAATACCACAATCGTTGATGTGTTGTAGAAAAGAAACACAGTAGCTCATTCATTATTTTGAAATAAAGATCATGAAATCCCATGTTGTTTTATCCTTTTCGTGCCCACACCCTATGCCCTCAAACCACTAACTTCAACTACTTCCAGTCCTGGCCTAGAGCTGCTTTATCAAAAGTTGGGAAGGGCTATTAATGTCGCGACCTGTCTTAGGTTGATTGATAGGTTAGCCTGTTTTTTGTTGTTGTTTGTTTGTTTGTTTTAGAAACTTTAACTATAAAAATAAAACTTGAACTTGGAGAATTGCCAGACACTTTGAATTAACTGTTATAATATTCCTCACGACTGCAGTCCTTAGCTGATCGTTGTATCTGCAAGTTTTTGAGAGCTACTCTGTCTTACATGCAACTTACAAAGCGAAAAAAAAAAAAGAACATCTCAGAGGTAAAACTATCAGGTAGAAGTGGACAGCTTGAAATTTCTCTGGTTATGGATTTTACAGTTGTAAACTTGGTATTGCTGTGATAGCTGTGTATATTATTTGGTACAATAATTACTTAACAATGTATTGTGTTAACTCCGTATAGGTGTATCGCTGTTTTGGTGTTAAAAGCTTTAGTTACAGCAGTTCTTTGGCTACGCCAGGCTTCCCTATAACAGTGGAAGGGCTTCTCAAATGGTCGCTGCTTAGCGCAATAGTTTTAAAAACCAAACCTACACGACTTCGACTTCTGTTAATAGCAGTCGCTACTCGTGACTTGAAGAATTTGGTTAAATTAACTGTATTTACACACACTGCCGTATTAAATCATCAAGATGAAGAGAAAAACAAACATAGTGGAACGTTAAATATAATTTCACTATCTTTGTCTTGATAATTTGCACATACGTCATTTATAATTTTAAATTGCTGTTTTGTTTTGTGACGTTTAGTAGTATAAAAGACACATACGCAACCTTGTTTTATATCCAAGTTAGACATGTTGTGATCCAAGTTAAACAGTGACATACAGCTCGAAAAGAGGACATTTAATGTGTCACTCTAACAGAAAGGAAGTAACCAAAGAAACCAGGATGTTTGCTGATCAAGGTAGAATCTAGTTTATAGTTGTTACGTAATGTAAAATTTAACAAGAGTCGAGTAATTTCCTTTTAACACAGCTATCACACTATAACCAACTTCACTTTAACAAAACTCGAAGCATTCTGTCTAATGATGTCATATATTGTTGTTCTACGGGCAGTGATTAGTTATTTTTTTTATGATTATACTTTTGTAGTACGAGAATGAGGAAATCGGCGTCGGTGGTTTCCAACAGGACTTCAATATCAAACCCATTACCGCATGATGGCGCTCCGGTGTTAACTGTGGGCGATGACTGTGCCATCAACGAATTGCTGGAGGGTCGTATGGAGCTTGATGTCATCCTTCCCGATGAAAATAAAGTCCGAATGACTGTAGAAAGAAAGTAAGAATAAACAGTTGAAAACACACACAAAGTATAGTGTATTTTAGATATAATTATTTGTTATCTACAGTAAGAAAATATATATATATCACGTTTTACTGTACCTTTCCCAAAATAATAATTAAACTGAGGAACATTTTTTACACAAGAGATGATTAAACGTGTTTTTGTTTGACAAAAAGGTATTTAATGCCACATTTTTACAGTACTTACGAAACGAAAGAAAACAAAAGGATCCGATGGCTTAAGTAATTGGAATTAGAAAACGGTCCCTTGGCTAGATGTTCAGCTACTTGACCTATCTCTCTTTATTCTATATATTATGATGATCTGTTTGTTCGTTATCGTCAAACTGTAGAGGTTATGCATTTTATGCCTCATGTTAAAAGAGCTCTTCATAATACTAAGTGCAACTGGATTAGAGTAGTAGATGAAATTTTAAATATTCCAAGTAACTAATGACAGAGTTTTGTCTGTCAATATGGGTTTTCAAAACATAAAAAACGAATAAATTGAACGAAGCTTGTGTACTTAGTAATGAATCTAATTGGGAAAGTTTTGTAAAAGGAATGAATAGTATGTTAAAATTTCATATTGAATATATCAGTAGATGTATAATTGAATGGATGTATAAAATGTTATACAATTGGTTAGTGCATAGACAAAGCTTTCCTTGTAACACGTTTTATGTGTGCGTTCGTGCTCACGCGCGTGTATGTGTACCAAAAACATGGGATTTATAACTAGGTGAGATTTGCTGGCAGATTGGGGGTTTTTATTTTTTGTAACATATATATTGCAATCATATAATGCAGTGGTTAGTTTTCTGGTAACTGTTTCTTATTTAACAAGAGTGTCACTATGTTAGATAGTCTCCTATTATTTTATAATTGTGATGAATTAAGCCCACTTGACTTTTCCTTTTGGCCACTTGTTCCTACAAAATGATATATATACAATGTATATCACCATTTAGAAAAGTAAAATCACAATTGTAGTGTCTGTGGGGGCAAAGAAACAATAGGTAAGACTTTTTAAAGTATTATTTATAAGTTGTACCTACGATTGTCACTTGCAATATCATCCTCTAGCCAGATCACGTGACAGTTTTCCATTTAAAGACACGTGTTAGTAAGGTTTCTTTCTGTCAAGGTTAACAATTCAAGTTCAGAATGACTGTAGACAAGTAACGACAGTACTAGGTGCATGATTGCCAGTACGTCACATACTGTCGTTAAATTCAGAAGTTTTTGTCAGCTTTGTGTTAATCTTCAGACACAAATACACACATAATGGTAAGCAAATGTGTGTTTGTATAGTTAGCAAGTCAGTAAATACGTAGGTAGTCTATATCTGTTACCACATTACTTTCTCAACTGACCACTAATTACCTTGGCAGTGTAGCTTGCTTATTCCTAGTAAGTTTTACTGCGAAAATGTTTCATCACGAAAAATAATATCTTTATAAGCGTATTATTTTCACTCTTTAGTTGTGTTTTATGTTGAATTTTTTTTTTCTTTCAGATTCCAATTTATAAATCAAGTATTAATCATTTTTGCAATAAAGTTATTAGTGTTTAATTATGCCCATATCCAAATCAGGATAGCTTTCAGATTATTCAAGACACATAAGGCGACTTTTGGAAGTATTTTATTCTGCGCTTTCTCTCTTTTGTATTATATTTGCTTGATTGTCGTATGTTGAAACGCTGTACGTACATTTACAACTTTTACTAAACTCTTACTGAAATGTATTGTAAAAGTATGGTAATATAACATTTACAAATTACGTGTTATTCATTGTATGTACTGTCTTTTTTATAATCTGTTGTTTTCACGTAAGCCCCCCAGTAGCACAGCGGTATGTCTGCGGACTTACAACGTTAGAAACCGGGTTTCGATACCCGTGGTGGGCAGAGCACAGATAGCCCTTGTGTAGCTTTGTGCATAATTAAAAACAAACAAAGTTTTCACGTAAAGTTTATATGTTTTTGAAAACATTTTTAAGTGTTTCCTTTTTGTTTGTAATTCTGTATTGTAAGAATTAATTCCAAGATATAAGAAGAGAAAAGCAAATGTTGGCAGCTGTGCTAAGTTCCTGAAGTGAACGTTTATGCCGCTGCTTTGATATTTATCTGGAAAGTCAAGTGCATTACAGGATGATGTATATACAATCACTTACTGATGTCCACTGTGTCAGCCATGTTTATAAATTTACTGAAGTTATTTCATTTTTCTGTAAGATGTTTTAAACGAAAATTCATACTGATCCATTTTGAAGGATGCCTATGATGGACCTTCTGGTGCAAGTCACAACAGCCAATAAAATTAGTCCAGGAGGCCACGTGATCCAAGTTCTTACAGAGAGAGGAAAGGAAATCCAGTATAAACCTAACACTCCCATTGGCTCATTGGATACCAATATAATCTATATAGTGTCAAAGAGTTCTGTTATGGAATCTACTGCGAAGAAATTACCGAAAATTCCCAATAAACCGTTTGAGGTAAGCCAAAAATCGTTAATCATAGTTATAAAATAACAATAATTTTATAACCTTAATTCTGTTTATCGATTGTTTTGGGGTGAATTTTTAATAATGTGAAACACTAAGTGTAACTTTAGCATTTTCTATTACATGATTCTATACAGATTAACAATTTTAATATACATTTATGTAAAAATCATATTTCGTAAATATAAAAGAAATGGTTCAAGGAGAACAGTTTTACTAAAGTTTAAGTGCAAATCTACACAATGGGCTATGTGCGCTATGCCCATCACGGGTATAGAACCCAGAATTTTAGTGTTATAAGACCTTGAGCTCACTGCTGAATCACAGAAGAGGTCACTACACCTAGATTATTATTTGTTCGTGAAATAAATAATAACATCAATGCTATGTGTGTTTCTGGCTGTTTGATGTTTTAATTAGGTAATAAAAAGATATATTACTGTATATTTCTAATATCATGTAATGCCACCTATATTTCAATGTTATTAAAATAACTAGTGTTCTTAGTAAAATACATTAAGTGAAACAATATTATAGATGTAAATATATAAATATACTTAATTTGCATTTTTTTAGTATTGATATGAATTTTAATAAGATGTCAATATTAGTCTTATTCTATATGTAAAACATGTAATTTTAAATTAAATGTGACCATTTTTTCATAGCCATTCTTTTAGAATTTATCCCTTATACTTTGCTTATGTACTTTTATTCAAATTCTCAGAACACTTAGGAAATCTCACTTGCTTATTTTTAAAGGTGCATCCGCCTATGTTACCCGAGTTATAAAAATGTTTGTCTTCCAGTTTTTATTAAGTACAAATTTCATTATTTTTGTATCACACAAATCCAATTATATTTGCTTGTTTGTCTACTCAATAGTACCTAAGATCAGTTGAATACTTTTATTGGACCTCATCTTCTGTTTCATGTTTGGATAAAGTGTCCATGAAACTGCTGTTGGTACAACATTCTCTTATAGTGCTCTGTAGTGGGTGGGATCATTAAGCACTAGCTTAAATTATATCCCCATGGAAACTTCAAATTCTAAACCCTCAAGCACTATTTTCATCCAATAAAATACCAATGTTCCATTTCATAATCATCTCCAATCCCCATCTGACATATTGTGGGTAATATATCACCTTTCTTTATCCATAAAGATTCATAGGGATTCACTTGCTTCTGTTTTGTTAAAAACTTTGTCAGGGAACATAATATTCAATACCTCTACTGTTTCCTAGGATGGTTGTATTGTTTCCGACTTTAACTTGTGAATAAAGGGCAGCTTGGTGACTGTCACATGGAGCAGAGATACTTATGGATTTTTGCAATCTACTTGTGATTGGTTAGATACAGGGAGAATGTAGACTATGAAAGCAATTTCATCACTTTCAAGGAGATTAATAGTATGTTACGTGTAGGTTTTAAATTTTATGTGTTGTCTTATCAGGCAGATCTTGATTGTCTCATATGTCAGCTACCATCTCTATAGAAAATAAGATTATTCTTGGACACTTGCGTAGAACCATAAGTAAATAAACACAATTAAAAACAACAACTTCCTTTTTGTTTACACAAAAAAGATCATTTTTATATGAGACTAATGAACAGTCTTAATACACTGAACATGTTTTTTTAGACTCCTGAAGGTGATGCATTAAAGAGCATCAAAACATGTCAAGTTACAGGTATCAGGGTAATGTCATTCTTTTTGCAAATCCCAAGGAGAACCCCTCAAGTCCTTCTAATTATGTTGATGACTTTCAGACTTCTTTTCAACATTAATAAGAGGTTTATTGAAAGGGAAGCTCAAACTGTCCCTAATCATGTATGTGAGTTAAGTATTGCAAGTGTATTTCAATTTGGTTGGCTCCAAATCAAGTGACTTTGGTTCAGCAATGGTTTGTAGTGACTCCAAAGATGCCCATAGCTTTCCAGTTCACTGCAGAATTATATGGGTTCATTTAATGAGAATCAGCATTCTGCCTTTTCTAAACTTTGCAATAAACTAGGTTACATATCCTTACAGGCTATGCTTATCCATATGACAGAGCAACCAAATAATCCACTTCTGCTGCAATCAAGCCCCTACTCATTCCATGTATTGATTTTAAACGTTGTATCATGAAGGGTTTTCTTGGCTGATGCTTTGAGAAAACAGCAAATTAACAAACATTTCTATGTTAAGCTTGTGGTGATACATTCGTCATTTAGTTTATACAAGGTTTGTAGGAATGAAGTTGTTTTAATGAGGCACTGTATTAGGTATTGTTTATAACTCACAATTATCTTTTACTTGGCAACAATCAATCAATATGTGAATCAGATGACAATTGCCTTTCATGTTGATCATCCTACTCTTTTGCCATTGGTTTGATATTCAGCAGTAGCATGTTTTTTGCATTCTTTACCTTTTATGCTGGATGGTGTCATTGGCAATACTAGCAGGACACTGTTGAATTTGATAGCTATCACCTTTTCTTTAAATATTATTTAGAATTTACATTCTTATTTAACTTTTACCATTTGCTGCTGCTGTTTGTTATAGGTTTAATAAAGTGTTTTACATTTTAACTTTTACTTGTTTTATATGGTTCAGATGGCATTTATAGCTTTGTATCACAAAACTCCAAATATAACAATAACAGGTGGGAAGAAAACAACACAAAATAACATTTTTGTGCATAGAAGTTTATTAGTATTTATTAGTAGTTTATTAACTAAGCAAACATTAAAAAATTCCAAACTATTTGATGTAAACGTAAGTTTACTAAATGTAATACTTTCTTTATGCAGCAAACCTTTAGGCTTCAAGTGAAACTCCCAAGAAACCAGCTAACAGTTTTGAGAGTTAGCCCCAAAATGACACTGGCAGAAGTTAAAAGAATAGTATGTTCAGATAAAAATCTTGATATAAACAATTATCATTTAGTGCGATCAAATCAGCCCAACAATATTCTGGACTTAAATATCACGCTAGCCAGCTATGGGAGTACAGAGATAAGCCTGCTATCTAATAAAAGTAAGTTATTGGAATATTACTACACAAACATTTATTAAGTTGCATTCTATTTTTATTTATATTTTGTAGAGTTATGCCAGTATTTATCTTCAAGAAGCAGTTATTTTTATAGATCTTGCTATTAAGAAATTAATTTTTGTTTTTGTTAGTTAAACCATGTGTGATTTTTAAGGATTAAAAAATACACATATATTTATTCTGAAAAGATACATTTTAAGTTTTATAGTCATTTCGTTACTTATTCAAAGTCTTGTAATTAAATCACTTTGTGCACATGTATTTATATAATTGTGTATATATTATGAACTATTATGTTTCATATACTTAATTGATCTTTCATCTTCTCATTTAACCAACAGATACTTGCTCACTTTGTAAATTAAACTTGCAGGTATTACAGCAAACATTTACTCTTCTGCCACTGATTTGATTGCTTATTCTACAAGAGAGGATGAAAAGACGACTAAAAGAGGAATTCTTGGAATGTTAACTAGAAAAAAAAGCAAAGGGGTAAGTTGGTAAAATTATCTTGTTTATTTTATGATATTAAACTGTTATTTGTCATAAATGAACAAATTGTTGATAGCATTAACTACATACAGAACCTTTATCCATTTTCTCGTTTTAGAGTTTGGCAAGTTCAAGCAGTGATGGTGCAAATAGTCAAGGAGATTCTCCAAATTCTAGTAATGATCAAACTGATCAGGTAAAGAAGACAGTTACTGTAAAGCCAAGTATAAAGAAACGACCAGCACCACCTCCACCATCCCAAAAGACAAATAGTGGGATAGAAATCTCTGATCAACTAGGCCTAGCCTCACAGCTGAGGGATGATAATGGTTGCCTTCTTGCATCTCACTCTCGACAGAGCTCGGACTCTAGTGGTTATCATGAAGCCTCTGTCTTCAGCGAACTTCCAGAGAATACATCTCCAGAAACTTCTAGTGGTAGTGGGAGCAGTGGCTTAGAGCATAGTGATACCCTAGTACACTCAGCTCCTTATCCACCACTAAGAAAAATCTTAGCCTCAAATAAAGATGCAAAATCTCATCGGACTGTTAAATCTAATTTGATCTATGTTCCTTCAGCATCAAGTATATCAGTTGTTAGTGCTGTTGGGAAAAAACGTAAAGCTCCACCACCACCAAAGAGGGACATCAGTAAGCCAGAATTAGATCCAGTTAGGGAGATGAGTGCTGCAGGAGAGAATGGTGATATTCAGTCAGAAGTAAATCAAGAAAGATTAGAACATGAATTTGGTGAAGGAATTGATGTGATAGAAAACACTCGTAGTACAGATCATGAAGGTAGCAATGTTTTTTGTAACACTTCCATACATACTTTAAATTTTCCACATTTTTTTATAGTTAAATCTAGAATTCTGTAGAAGCCATTTATGTTTTTTATTAGAACAAGTAAAAGTTAGATATTTTGATAATCTAGTAAAAAAAATAGCGGTTGGCTTGTAAAGAGTACTTCCAGATGAGTTTCCTGTTGATACTTTAATCATGAAACTGTCACGTGCAAGTTTTCTTAATTGTACAATAGGGATTGTGTGCACTTTAAACACAGTAATGAAAAGATTAAAAAAAAATTGACTCCAAAAGCATAATCATAGTGACAGCAGTGTCTAGAACAGAAACATGTCATTATTGCTTGCAGTAGAATTCCTGAGAATCTTCATAGTTACAGAAAAGTATTAAAGGTGTTTAGTAATCACAGTGATAATAATGGTTGATTTAAAAAAAAAAGTTTTCATATTTGAGAGCCAAGACTGCTGTAGGTATGACCCAAGAATGAATATATATTAAGTATAGAAATACTTAGTTAATAAAGTGTAATACAGCTTTTTTAGAAAGTTATTGTTATTTCTATTATTAATAATGGTAATAAAAGCATTTTTTATAAAACAGTTTCAGCCAGCTAGCTAAAGTCTTTCCTGTTCAGTGGTAACTAAAAGTGGAGAAAGCAAAGGGGTGTCAGACAGATGGTTTGGGGTCAGCTTTTTGTATTTTAAAAGGATAAGAGTCATAAAAAAGAAGCTTCCTAGAAGGGTTATTTGTGTTATCAAGGTGACTCACAATTTGTAGCTTTCAAACGTTCTCAGTTCTTACTGTGATTGATTGAAAAGGTAACAGGAATAACCAGAGATTAGATGATGTTTTGTTGGATGGGGCTGTATTTACTACGGGTGCGTATCTTGTCATAGTAGTCAATACAATACATAACTAGATACAGAAGTTTAACCAATGGTTTGTTACTAAGTTTGACAATCTTGTCTATAATTTATTAACTATATTGCTAACATTGTCTTATTTAAGTATTTCAAATTTTAAAGTGCTTTTTCAAATTCTCAAGGTTGATCAAATAAATGGCAGCTGGCAAGAGAAATAAAATAAAACGTTAATATCTGTATCTATTTTGTTATTGTTAATTTGTTATGTTACATTGCATGTAATGTTTTTGATAAAAGAAATTAAGACAACATGTAGTACTCAATACTCATCTTCCTTTGTTGAAACATTAATTTTTAGCAAAAATACTTTATTAGAAATTTTGATTTTTTCTGTACAAAAGACTTATGTTTACTGAAATCTTGCTAAATTTTGTGAAGATACATAAATCGTATCAGACAATGTATCGATACAATTGTCTCACGACTTCACAATATGATACTCATATCATATCACTGTATTGCCATACCTTTACTATTTACAGTTGCCTGATGAGCTGTATTTTTCATGAAAATATTTCAAGAGGTGAACAACTGTACAGGGTGGAAGACACCATACCTAACCTCCCCCTGACATTGCCAGTGCTCCTGTTAATTTAGACACAAACTATGATTTTTAAGCAATTAGCATTAGTTGATTTTATTCAGTGAATGTCATGTATTAGCTTTGTTTATTTGCCGATAAAAAGATTAGAATACATCATAAATAAGACAGGCATTTATAAAGTACTCTCATGGTTTGAATGTTCATTAACTTTACTGCTACATGTAGTAAACAATGCAAAAGAAGTTTATAAAAACTGTATAAGTGCTTTGCTACAGACATTAAAATCAAACATCTGAAACTTGACCACTCTACAAGTAGCACTAATGTGTATTAAAGAATAATCATAATTGCATTTTAACACAAGAAACCATGTTATTTTATGTTCCTTAATTTGACATATTATTTTAAATGCAACACTAAAGTTTACAACAGATTTTTTTACCACAGCTGAACTGTAAAAAAATGCACATATGACATCTGAATTTAAAACTTGATGTAGTAAGTATACTAGGACTAAATAAAGTTTGGTTCAAAATAATCATAGTGGGTAGGAGGTCAGTGAAAGTTGTAATTCTATGAATTAGTGATATATATCTTGAATGTATTTCATACAGAAATTCAGAATATAATGGATTTATATCAATTTATTCCAAAAAGTTGTTTAAAATGTAAAGGCTAGAGAAAGTAATTTATATCTGTTTAAACTTTTGATTGTAAAATCAGAAAATAATAGTAACAAAAGCCTTGTTTTGTTTACTTTCAAGATGCAGTGACATTCCAAGCTATATCAGAGCCTTCTAGTAAGTTTGCTGTAGTACCATCTCCTCCATCAGACGATGTGGTCATACATTCACTCCAACCCAATCCTCCACCTGAGTTTGCTGATAACAGTGATGAAAGTGCCATTGAAAACCTTGAAAAAAAATCACAACTTGGTGAGATGAATTTTTCCTCTGACAGTGCATTCATGTCAGAAGATGGCTGTTCAATCTCTGACTGCTCAACTGTATTTGATTTAGTTCAACCTCCTGAAGCTTTTACTAACTTTCATTTGTGTCATAGCACTAACCATGACTGTGGTGATTATGATGCAACTGCATGGTCTTCTTCATTTGTTAATATTCCACCTTTTGACCCTTCACCGGGAAAACCCACACCACTGCCAATTTCTAAACCCCAAGAGGAGATTGAAACTACAAACGAAAGTAAAGGTGCCTTTTACTTTACATTCAGTTTCTTTGGTGGTTGGTCACTGTGCACTTTCATACAGTTGCTACTACTCTTCACTAAATAATAAAGTTAAAACCACTCTTAAAGGAATATTCATAAAAATGATATCTACTCTACAAAGCAACATATTAATATAATTAGAAATATTAAGTATGTCATAAGTTATTGAAAATTTCAACTTTTTTTGGTTGTATTTATGATATATATGTTTATTTGTTTTTGTGTTTTGATTTAAAAACAGAGATATTCAAAAAATTACATCAACACAGAATATTCAATTAAGGTTCTTGAAGTTTGATTGAGTGTTGACTGGAACATTTTTTTAAGGTATCAATCTATAATAGAGCGGCAGACTAAAATTTGAAGTAAAAATAAAATTACATTAATGATAGATAATCACTTGTATTTCAGGATTTGTTTTTACATGAGAATCTACAACAAACGTCTCACAATTTAAAGCAATTTGTCAGGTTTTGCAAGTAAGGCTGGATTCTTTACAGTAGGTGTCTGTGACTTGTTAGTGATAAATTTCAACTATAAACAAACAGCAACACAGTCCACTTGTTTTAAAATAATATATTAAAAACAAATCGAACGTATATACAAATGTTTGTTACACTGTTGGTTACTACAGTTCTATTCAGAGCATAAATAATTGTTTCTTTTTTTATTTTGTCAAAGTCCACACAGGCTGGTTCAATTACTTTAGGACACAATTGAGAAGAATAATTATTCTTTTCTACATTGTTATTACAATACAGTCTGTTGTAATTTCACTTTAAAAATTCCCACTGTACAATATTTATCGCTAAATTCACGATCATGCAGTCTAGAACTATATAATGATTTTTTGATGCGTATTTATACCCGATAGAAATTAGAACATTCCATGCAATACTAGATATGTTGATGCAATAATATTCAATGAAATCAATGAGAAACTCAGAAAGTTCTAGCAACATGATGCAATAATCTCACAATTGTAAACAATCACTAATTCATAACAATTGAACTACACAATGTATGATTCATTAATAGTTACATAAACCTACCGTAAAATATCTCTTCTAGAAATAAATAGATATGACACCCACACTACATAAATTATCTAAATCATAATGCTTTCTATTGTTACGATAGCGGAAGTCACGCAACGCTGGGAGCATGCGCGCTGGAGTTTCTAGAAGGATCATGACTTATCGAGGAACCTCGCAAATGTCCCAGTGTTTGCTAGACGCTCTCTGTTTTAGTATATAAGCCTGGCGAATAAAATCAGCGTGATAGATATGCAGATAGAGATAATTGAGTCAAGCGAACAGTAGGCACCGTAAGTAAAGTGTGAGAATCACTGTGATTTATAGCATGCGTTATAAAGGTTGTTAAGTTTAAAGTGACTGTGGAAATTCTGCGAACTAAAAAGTTGTATCAAGAAAGAATAAACTAGTTTTAATTAAGAAAGGAAGTTCCTCAGAAAGAATTTATACCGGAAATTAACAAACGAGCAGATACGTAACACTATTAACTTACGTCAAATGTTAATTTTGACAGTAGCAATAGAAGTTGGTATTTGGTCTTCAAGAGTTAACAAGTTTCTTATACAGCTTTTCTGCATTGTAGTTCTTTGTTTTATCAGTCTTTTGGTGTTTTCATTTTACTTGTTAAAGGTAAAACTATTACATGTACCTCAGTTGTGGATAAATAATCGGTCTGAAATACATCTTATTTTGTTTGTTATTAGCTCTGGAAAATGTACTCACTATATTTTGCAGACATTTCAAGTGACTTGAACTGAACTATTTTATATGCTTTTTCATATTTAGTTTGTATTAATAGCAAGCTGTATAACGTTTAATGTGTTGTAGGATAATATACAAAAGAACTTCAGGTTTCTTCAGAGGCCAACTTTTATATAAGGGTAGACTGACATTAACAAGTTTCTTGTCTAAAATCACCAACTTTCTTTTAGTTAATACCTGAATAATTGTTCAAATTTAGTTTTACACAAATAAATGTTATAAACATTTGGTAACAAACCTTTTGTTGTCATAGAATATTTATAGGAAGCTCTTAAGTCTAAGAATTAACAATTTCTTTTTCTTTAGTCTTATCATATTCAGAAGAACAAACAGTAAAAGATGTACAACAGCATCAACGACAGAACAGCTTGTCCTCTATTGACACTATAGATGACATAGAGAACACATTCCGACAAACCATTGCAGAGGGTGAAAGAGCTCTTGAGAGGGATCAAGAAAAAGGTATGATTTGTTTATAAAAAAACAATTTTAATTTTATGTTACTTTTGTTTTAAAAATTTGGATTTTAATAAAATGTTAGTTGTACTTCACCAGAACTCTGAAATTTTAAAGCCTCATTGTTGCTTCAGTACTTGTGGCATAAAATTGTGAAATAACTGTTTTTTTAACCACAAATTGATCAACAAGGAAAATGTTCATTATATTTCCAATTGTACTGTAGAAAACTTTCATACATTAGAAGGGTGTTTCTTCGGTCTCATACTGAGGTGATAAAAACTCTGGCATTAACCTTCACATACTTTAATTTCTTGGATTGCTACAGATGGAATATAATTGAATTTTAGAATCATTATATCTTACGGGTAGGTAATATGGTATTTTGTTTTCACCTAGCAAAGCAAAAGCTGGCATCTGGAAATCATGATACTTCTGTATGAATATGAGAAGTTTATTACAATGATCTAAACCAGCAGCTCTCAATCTGTAGTCTGTGGGCTCCATTTTGGTTGTTTGTGTAAATGTTGCATAATTATGGAAAGGAAATGAAAGTATGTAGATACTGTTGTGGTCCACTGGGATAAAAGCAAAAAATGTAGGTGGTCCATGAACAAGAAAGTTTGAGAACGACTGATCTAAATTTTTCTATATGCCTGTAACACATGAAAACAGTATACCAAAATTATTTTTTTTTTACCTTACCACCAAGCATTATGTTCAAATAAATGATTTCAGTTATTAAGTCATTATTTTTGACTTACAGGTTTAAAATTAAATATGCATCACATTTATTAATTACAATTAATGGGAATCAGTCCTTTTTTTAATTCTGCTATAAGTAAAACAGGTTGTAATTGCTTGAAACTGGAAATAATTTTGATATAAATATAACGATACTGCAAGTGAAGTTTCTCAGTTACTTGAATCATACTTCCCAAGTTTAATTGCTAATTGACTCAGTTTTAGGAAACATAACTTAATGATAAAACAAAACATGAACGTAATAACAGGAAGCATTTATTAAACATTTCAGAATCATCATAATTCCATCATTAGTAATCTAGAGGTACAAAACAAACAAACAATATTTGTAATTACAACAGAAATTTTTTACATAAAAAATAAACAATTTGAATATACAAATATAACACAAGAAAATGAAAACTGGGGCACAGATGAAATAGGTTCAAATCCAATGAAGACTGTGTGTTATTTAGGGACAGAAGAAGAGTTTTTATTTATAATGTTTCTTTTATAAGAAGTCCAGTATCATGTTTGGCTGTTAAAAGAATTAAAGTTTGAGAGAGAAATCGGATATCTGCTATCTATCAACACAATACAGAAACAGGACATCCAATTTCTCTCTGAAACTTTACAATTCTTTTAACACTGACTGTTCAAGATCTTGAGGGAATATTCAGTTGTTCACTTGTCTTTATTGTTTGAATAGCTATCTATTAGTGAACAATTTGATTTTATTCTAAGGGATCATGATGGATGCTCTCTTCTAGAATGTTGGAAACTTAAGCTATTAACTTCAAGAAACTTGTGTAAAGTATTTGAGAAGATGTACTTCAAATAATATTGAGAGTACTAGTCAGCAGTTTGTTTGGTTTTTGCTACTTTTTCAACAAACAGGTTGTTAGTTATTTCAACCTGAAGAAGGTCTAATCTAGACCAAAAGCTTATCACTATTTTTTTGTCCTTTCCTGTCTAATATTGGTGGGATTTTTTTGAATTTGTTAGATTTTTCTTTTGTCAAATTTTTAGTGGATCATCTATTGATAATTTGGAGACCATATATTCACTCAGGGAGTCAGACCTAACTGGATGGGCAGACTTGTTTCCCATACTCTACTGTGTATTTCCTCTCTAAAATATTTCCATTCTATTGCAGGATTAATTTTGACATTTGTGTTAGTATGTGATGCCAAGCACAAATACAAAAATAACTTAGGCTTTAAGGTTACTCCTCATCAAAACGTTATCTCATGTCAGTGACACAATTCTGATGTGTTGGTCTGCACTCTTTAGGTATGATGGGTGGTTCACCATATTCCTTTCGGTAGTGTAGTTGTTAGTCGTCAGTTCACAAGATTCTTATCTCCATTAATAAGCTAATTGTAAAGGTGTTCAGGATGTTAGGCCACAGAAAGATCAAAAAGAGCTCAATCACCAATGTAGAGTTGAAGGCATAACCAGAGTTGTAAAAGGAATAAGATGAGCACAGGTACAAGTTTCCCTCTGTGTATGACTGAAACTGCCCCTGACTCAGAGGAGCCAAATAACTCAAACCTAAACATTATCTGAACACAGAAGTGATATAACTTTTGACTGAATAGATAAATACAGAATTACATTAACCTTGTCTATAAAAAAGTTATGTTATAATGCTACAACTAAAATGTAGTTAACATGAAATTAGTATATAATTACTACTAACTAATATTGAGACTAAACATTCAGTAATACCTACAAGTTCCGAAAATAGTTTGATATATAAAAACCAAACTTATTTCTGAATTAAAGCTACACAAAAACAATACTAGGTTTTCTTTCATTTTGAATAACCAAGTGATCATATCATAATTTACCTTTCAAGACTAAGTCACATGACCTATTCTTGTGTATATTATATTTGTGTACCTAACTCATAGACATATTTGTTTACTGGGTACCTGAAAATAATTTTAGATTCCACACTTCTTTTCTACATTACATAATAACTGAAGTTTAATTTGTAGTACATGATATCACTGTTAAATGGTTCCATAGTTTCTGTAGCAACCAGTTGCTTACTCAACATGCTTTTTGAAAAGCATATTAAGGTGAAACCTATGAACACCACCCATTGAATTTGGATTGCCTTAACTCCAGCGATATCATAAAAATGAAGTAATCACCTCTGGGTATGAGCTACTATAGACTATTCTGCCATAAATATCTATCCAGTTCATGTTTTGTATCATCAACCATAAAATATATGTACACACTCTCAGTCCAATGTAGCAGGTGTGCAAGAAACACAGGTGATATTACTCTTATCTCATAACATAACATTTGGCCCAAATTGCCACATGTATCCTCTTTTGGTGCTGCCATCTAGCGGACATGAAAAATAACTAAGACAAAAATCTAACAAAGTGTTATACATTTCACCTGACTTATAACGTCTGTGTTAATTTCTTGTGCTGTGTTAGAGTACAACTTTCTGACTGTCTTCAAGAAAACTGATATATATACCAATCAGACCATCAAGCACAATCTCATAGAGTGGCACAACACAATGGATTGATGACTAGCACAAAATCTGAGTTCACTCAGGAAGTTTATGTAGGCAAACATTCACACAAAATTTATTGTTAGTGCTCTGTAAACAAGGATTGCAAAGTTTTTTCAATTTGTCAGAATCTCTGGCTATCATTAACAACAGTGACTGTAATTTTCATCTCACAGTCTTCACGGTCCTAGCTCTGTATCAAGTGAGTTTTGTGTGGTCTGCTCCACAGAAATTATGCTACAACTCATCAAAATGCCACAAGAACAATTTGGTACTTTCACAAAAATTTGCTTCTGATTTTAAAAGCACCAAGTTTTTGTATAACATGCTAACAATATGTTGCCCTATTCTAAGTGCATTTTTTCCATCTTAATTTATTTGAATTTTATTAAACAATATAAGATAAGAATAAACTACTCAGAATAAACACTTAATTATACCTATGTTTCAATCTTTCTGAAGTATTAATTGTTATGATTTGTCAATCAAAATATTTCAGAAATATGCAAGATTCTCTTCACCAGATTTATGTTATGT